AATTCAAGAACAAGTATGGGAAGCTGATATCTTTGTTGGGTTGCTCAGTGAATGAAGGACTTCTTGCCACTTTGCTACAGTTCTATGACCCTCTCTACCATTGTTTCACCTTTCCAGATTTCCAGTTGCTACCTACATTGGAAGAGTATTCTTTTTTGGTTGGTCTACCTGTCCTTGAGGAATCTCCTTTTCCCTTCTTGGAAAAGGACCCTGATGAGAAAGATATTGCTAAAGCCCTCCGTTTGAAGGTATCTGACGTCAAAGCCAACCTAGTTACTAAGGATGGAATTCTTGGTTTAAAGACAGGTTTCCTAATCGAAAAGGCTTCATTCTATGCTGATTATTCTAATAAGGCTCCGTTTGAGGCAATTTTTGCTCTGCTCGTTTATGGGTTGTTTCTATTCCCAAGTTTTGAAGGTTTCATCGATCTCAAAGCATTCAAGATCTTTATGAAGAACAACCCAGTGCCAACTCTGTTGGGAAATGCATATCACTCTATACATCTCCGAAACCTTCGTGGTGGAGGGATGATTACTTGCTGTGTACCTTTACTTTACAAGTGGTTTATTTCGCACTTGCCGAAGTCTAGCTCTTTTACAAACATTGGCAAAGAGCATTGGTCTCCAAGGGTTATGGCTCTGACCCATTCCGACATTGATTGGTACAACCGAGTGTATGATAGAGTATTGATTATTGATAGTTGTGGTGACTTCGCTAATGTACCATTGCTCAGCTTTGATGGAGGAATTAGCTACAACCCTATTTTAGCTCGTCGACAGTTGGGATACCCGTTGAAGGAACCTCCCAAGAGTGTTCAAGTAGAGGGTATATTTTTCAAAGATGGCATGGAACTCCGAGGAAAGATTCTAAATGCATGGCGTAGTGTACACAAAAAGGGGAAGAGAAGTCTAGGGAGACCTAACTGTGTGTCCTTAGAACCATACCTCCAGTGGGTCAGAAAAAGGGCAACCAAGCTAAAGATGCCCTATTCCCGTCAAGATCCCTTAGCTCCAAGGAGAGAGCCCACTTATGTCTTTATGTCTGAAGCCGAGAAGTTAGGGGTGTCCTTAAGGAAGTCTCAACATGAGCTGGAATCGTGGAAGAACAAGTACCATGTAGCGGTGGCAGAAAATGATGAGTGTCAAAAGCAGAAGGCTGAACTTCAAAAGGAGAGGGATGAACTTCAGAAACAGCTACAATTGAAGCATGAAGAGCTACTCCTCTGCAAGAAGATGAAGGTCATGGAGGATTTATTTTTCTCCGACCCACAATGCACTATTTGGAAATTAATCGTGCACACCCACTTCACGACACCTTTCACTCTCACACACTTCAGAGCGCTTTCATGCGTATGTGTATGGATTTATTTTCTGCAATTTATTTCTGAAATTTATTTTACAAGCAATTTACATTACCGCATTTATATCATTGCATCGCATTCCGTCCAAAGGAAAAACCTACACATAATTCAACGTTGTGTGTAGTTGCACATCATTTGCATCATATTCCCTTCGATCCTTGATTCCATTCAAGTTGATCATTTAAGTTTAGGACCTACCCCATAGGAAGGACCTTGTCTTAATCTTTACAATGTAGACAAACAAACAAACAACATTGCACAAACCTTTCAAACACAAATAGAGAATAGATGTTAATCATCTTAAGTGAGATATAATCTCCACCTCCACAACAATACAATCAAACATGTAGGGACTTTGCCTTAAGAGCGATAAAGGCATACTTGGCGACCATCCGAGTATGTAAGACCTTTTCTTAAGACGATGCAAAGACCATTTCCTACAAACCCCCTTTACATTTGTGGTGGTTATCTCTCCCTTAACATGAAGACTCATCTTTTCTCCTAAACCCAATCAAAACAACTACCCTAAATCCGTAGGAACTTTGACCACAGTCAAAGAGCTCCTCTAACCCTTTAGGGGAACTACAAGTACTCTGATTCCATTCCCGTAAGGATATGTAGGCATAAGATGCGACATCTTATCGAGTATACTTAGAAATAAACCCCTAGGGTCTTTTAATCCTTTAAACAGATAAACACATAGCAGTAAACAACATAAAACAAGAGGTTCCTGTAGAGTACTACAGAAACTTAGGATGCTAGTACCTTCCCTAAGTTTAACCAACCCCCGAACCTACAACTCTCTAAACCTTGCATTTGCATTGCATTGTGGGAATTTTGATCTTTATCCCTTCCTTTGGACAAATCAAAGTTCGGTTGCAAAATTGAATTAAAGATTCAAACTAATCAATAGTTTGGTATCCAAATTTCACCGCGACAGAGGGTCCTAAGGAGGTGATTCGGGCCAGACTTTGATTCAAAGGGGTCATTAGGCACTCCAGATATCTTGATCTTATGGTGGTGTTTGGTACGTCAAATAAGGAGGTGTTCAAACTTACCACTGATCGTGTCTGGAATAAGGTCAAAGGTTGGAATTAGGGATTCCTATCTAGAGATGGGAAAGAGGTCCTCATAAAAGTAGTTGCGCAGGCGATTCCCACGTACATTATGAGATTTTATAGGATACCCGACCACTGCTGCAAAGAATTTGAATCTATGTTGGCAAAATTTTGGTGGGGAACAAAAGATGGTGAAAGAAAAATTCATTGGATGAGCTGGGAAAGACTGTCTCAAGGAAAGGGAGAGGGTTGTTTGGGTTCAGAGGTATCCAAGATTTTAACTTATGTCTGTTGGGAAAATAATTTTGGAGACTTTTGCAAGGCGATGGTTCGTTGTTTGAGAGGTTCTTCAAAGGAAGGTACTACCCAAGATGAAAAATCAATGACGCTCCTATTGGTTTCAACTCTAGCTATGTGTGGCATAGAATCATAAGTGTCATGGAGGTGGTATTAAGTGTTTGCGATAGAGGATTGGTAATGGTGAAGGGGTGAAAATCTGGGAAGACAATTGGATCCCAACTATCCCAAGTTTTAAACCTCTGAGTCCTGCTCGTACCTTGGAGGCTGATAGCAAAGTCTGTAAGTTGATTGATTATGATCTGGGAATGTGGGATATGTAGGTTCTGAGGGCAAATTTTGATGATCACGAGGTTGCTCACATAAGCAGCATTCCTCTCTCTGATAGGCTACCGAAAGATAAGTTGATATGACACTTTGAGAAAGATGGGGAGTACTCTATCAAGATCGTGTATCATTTACTTGGGGAGCTGAGGCGTGTCAGCAAACCAGAACCATCAACTAGGGTGAATCAAAAGTTATAGCAGAATCTTTGGAAGGTGTTTGTCAATGAATGCATCAAGAATTTCACTTGGAGGCTTGCTAAAGACATCTTGCCAATTAAGGTCAACCTGAGCAAAAAAGATATCTCCTTAGATGTCTCATGTCCCTTTTGTCATTTGTATCATGAGAACCCTCTTCATCTCTTTATGCAATGTTGTTTTCCCAAAAGAGTCCTTTTGTCCTCCCCTTTGGGTGTTCAAATACCTGCTGGCTATGATTTTCGTGATTGGATCTTTGAGTTCATTGCAAACAAAGAGTGTGTGATTGGCCAATCGATGATGACATCCTTATGGAAAATATGGTAGATGAGGAATAGTGTAGTCTTTAATGCTGCATCCCCTAATCCTCGTGTTGTTGCCCAGGAAATCTGGGAGGTTATTGAGGAAACCGATGGTGTGTTTGGAAGAGTTTCGAATATGGCACTCACTGATGGAAATATACAACATGTTGCGAATTCTGAGTTGTGCAGTCGAACGCGGGGTGCTTTCCCGATGGTATAATTGAGCTTGGATGTGTCATTAAAGATCCAACTAATAATATCTTTCTGACCGCTTCTAATCGTTTTTCCAACCATGCAGACGCTAGTACGACAGAGATCCTTGCTATCTAATGCAGCCTTCATTTGGCCAAAGAGTTGAAGATTGAAAAATTTATCATCCAGTTCTATGCATTAGTTTTGGTAGAATGTATTAATTGTGCTGGCTTTATTGCTGCATTAGATCCTTTATTAATGATTGTAAAATTTTCTTGAAAAGTTTTATTGATGCAACTTTGATGTATGTTAGTCGTGACAGTAATTTGGATGTGCATCATAAAGTGGGGGTTGGCAAATCCTTAAAATCTTGGCTGTTCATTAATCTTATTGCCTTCGTTTAAACTAAAAAATAAAAAAATAAAAAATAATAAAACTTACCATTAAAGAAATTACAATAGATTATTTCAAAGTCATTTTCAATGTTTGAAGAAATTGTCATTGTAAGTTGGTTTATGATACGCAAAAAGTGAGTTCAACTCCCGCTAGCAGCCCAAAAACTCGTGGTAGATGATACGTAGGTAGGTATCTCTGTCTCGCTCTCTAAGGTCTGCTTGAATTTGATGAACCTCTAATCCAACTCACCTATAAATCAACCATTTTGAAAAGAAGAAAAAAATCGTCTAAATTTTCTTATATATATAAAAAAATGTAAATCGGAGTCAAATCTCATGCATAAAAAAAGTATTAATTTTGCAACAAGCAAAACAGTTACATTTAAGATAAATCACTAGCAGAACAAAATTGATCCTTTAGGTGAGAGGTTGCCACACTCCAAACATGGAAGCAACCATAAAATTATGTGCTTCAGAATCAGAAGTGTATATGAATACATTCAATAATATGTACAACTGCAGAGAAATAAGCCATTTGAAAACTGCAGCTACACAGAAAATTAAAAAGGCCACATGCTGTGACTTGTGAGAGGTTGTTGACCAATTTTCAAGTGAACAAAAACCTACCTCTGACTGTGAGATTGACCGATCTTCTGACTACACATTTTTTTCCACAATGAGATCAATAATCTTTCTCCACCGCAAAGAGGACATAAACTTAGTGACATCTTGCTGACAAAGTTCTAAGATCGGCCTTGATGCAGAAGCATCCACCTTATATCCACTTCAACGTCAACATGGGACTGAACTTAATCAGGCATTATAGCTCGTGAAAGTTTCAAAGCTTTCAAAGGTAGCAACTCCTTAAAGAAATGCTATGATTCCATTGATATCAGTTCATTGTTTCCGCACTGTCTAATATGAATACTGATTGTTTCATTTGAAAATGGCAAGACGTTGCAGCACTGACGACGGAGAGCTTTCATCTGCGACAAAACCCAAAAGAAAATACAAAATTAAATTACTTGATCAAGAATGCAGATAGACATAGGAAACCAAAAATTGTAATAGGAATTTATCAATACCTCTTCAATACTATGATCCAACTTTCTTGAATAAGCTATGATCTTACTCGGCAGGTTAGGATTTGATTTAGGGCACGTCTTTTCTACATGTCTAGTGTAATTGCTCTGAATGCCTCTTTTATCAGATGCAACACTTTTCAAGAAAAATATAGAAGGCCTTTTGCAAGGATCACTAGGATAGTCTCTAGTGTCAAGCATGAAATTGGAATGAATCTTCCTCCAAGGGGCAAATGTTTTTTTCACTGCAAGGAGATCAGGTAGAAGTACATTTCCTTGATAAACTTGGATAGCAAAACCCCAAGAAACTGAGAATGTCAAAGAACTCGATCGATCGTAGCAGACAGTTTGCTGCAGAATTCTCGCGGGATCAATACTTGCAGCTTCAATAAGACGTCCCAAAGCTTGTGTTCTATTCATGTCGGGAAAGATAGGCTCCACAGCATCCAAGTGATGAAGGGAACATAGAGGAAATAATGGATGTGCCGCCAGCACTCCAAACAAATTCCCTCGCATATCTAACTGGTTTTAACAATACAGCTCGTTAATTTTCCGCATTAATTACAGAAGTTGGCATTGACAATCTTGAAGACTTTGATTCCTTAATTATGAGGTTAAGATCCTTAACTACTATAGTTTCCAAAATACAAATACAATAGTGTGTTAATGAATCTAAATACTTTTTATAAGCTGCAAAACAATTAAAAACTAAAGTAATTGAAAGAGAAAATAGAGGATCTTAACTCTTAAATATGTGATCAATAATTGATTTGCAAATCCAAACTAAGCAACACCATAAATATTTTCCCTATATATTTCAAAAAGCCCCATCAAAATCTTCTTTCTTAATTAATCCAATCCAATATAAATATACTTGAATGAGATGGTAAGGATCTCGTCAAGTATAACTAGAGATTATGGGTTTGAACTCAACCCTGAATCCACGCAGCAGTATTAAATTCTTTAGAGGAGAGTTTTGCCGCCCATTGCAGGGGAGGGCTGTCCTCCCCGGCTCAAGAGATAAGTCTCTGCAGTTGGGCACAGAGATACTCAGTTTCTACCCAAAAAAATGTACATATTTAGATGAATGACGCTCGTCACAAACATGCAAAAACAGAGCCAAAGAATCCAACCGAACAAGGACAACAACAACGACAAAAGATAAAATAAAACCAAATTTATATACCTGATGAAATCCAGGTTCATGAGTTAAGGTAACACCAAGCTCAGCAACACATGAATAGATCCTAGCATCACTCCCATACAAAAAACCATACCTCCTCAAACAAGAATCCAAAACCCTAGCTAAAACCTTCGCAAGCGAATGACTAATAGCGAAACCACCTCCACCAAACGCCATCTCAAACGAATACATCGTGTTCTGATCATAGCTCTCCGAGTTACTCCCAACGTAAAACCACCGATCATGATCATACTTCGAAAGCGTCTTCACAACATTCTCCACAAAGAAAACCGTATCATCATCCCCAAACACAAACCACCGAACATCCGTTTCGTTCCGGTCCACCGCCTCCTTCACAACCCTAGCCACACGGATCGCCGATCGAAGCCCTCCCTGCAAAGTATAAGGAAATCCAGACGCGTCGCCGGATATCACAATCGGCGGAGACAAAGGAGACGAATTACCCGGCGGCGAGTCAAGAAAAGCGAGCGCGCGGGTGGATTTAGCGGAATACCAGAGATGAACGTAAGACTGACGGTGTTGCCATGAGAGAGAAGACGAAGCGACGGAGAATAGAACATGACGGCGCGTCGTTGGAGAGAGACGAGATACAACGGCGGAAGGTCCTATCGTGGTAGAGTATGGGGCCCACAGAATTAAAAGGAAATAAAAATTAAGAAGTAATGAAAGAAATAATATGAAAGACGTAAATGAAGCGGTTAGTGTCGAAGTTCTGAATCTAAAAAAAGTTGAAGGCATTGGTGAAATTGGTGTGTGTGATTGTTGTGGTGAGTTTGAAAGAGGTAATGTGTCTGGTTCTTTTTTTCTTCGGTGGAACATCATTACTAGTTTTTTTATATGAAAGAGGTAATTTGTCTGGTTCCAACTCAACTCAACTCAACTCAACTGACTCTTAAACTCCCTTTACTTTACTTTTATTATAAAAAAAAACGAAAAAAGAAACCCAGTTAAAACATCTATGGATATGTTAAGTTTGTTTTGTGACGACAGCAGCACTTGCATGTTTGTTTTTTTAATGTTTTTTGTTTGTGTCCGTGTTAGAAGGTGTAACTGTGCGACATTGAAGGCTGGAACATGGACTGTTTCTTTCTTGTTTAATGGCATGGCTTGTTGGGTTCATTGAGTTAACAAGCAGCCCATATATTGCTCGATTGTTAAGAAAATATGACTTCATACCTCCAATTAGACCTATATCCTTAAATCAATCCATTGAACTTACTAAAATATCATTTAATTTAAAGAATCTCCGAAGAAAATAGTGAAAGAAGCAAAACGCGAAAAATAGGTACTCCCTCATTTTCAACCAAAGTAGATAATTTTGTCTTTAGATGTATTACTCAATGTCCTTCTCATTTTCAACCAAAGTAGATAATTTTGTCTTGAGATGTATTACTCAATCTCCTTATCAATAAGATGTTTGCCTACATATAGCGCCACAACCTTCATAGGAAATGCTAACCGTTCTCAATATATAAAGGAAAAAGTGTGTCGTTATCAGGTATTTAAATTCATTTTTGTTCTCACATCACTTTGATTTTTTCACTAACTTGAGCGTTGCAACACTAACCTCGTAAGACCACTTTCGCGCCGTCGTACCAAAAGTCCAGTGCATTTTTCACAAACAATCTCACCGTTTTAGCAACAATTTTGGTTACATATTAAAATAATAATGCCGTTTATGAAAACTGACTTTTGATTCCCACCTAAATATCATAGCAATAATTAAAATAACTCTTAAAAAATAAAATAATGAAGAAGGCTTCCACGCTATCCTCCCGCTCAATAATAACTAGTGCTCCTCTATCTGAGTATTTGTACCATAAGTGTACAGGACACATGTTTACGTCGAAAATTGGTAAATAATCATTGGTATCCTAATTAAGAGTTATTTGTAGTGAATCTTAGAACATAGTTCCAAATAAAACCTTGTTTCTTGTTTTTCTATTGTAAAAAGTCTTATTTTCGACTTGGTCGAAATAAGGATTCTAAGTGACTAAATGAATGCGTGAAAAGGTCAACTTCGACTGCTTTAGAAATGCAAATGAACAAAAGACAAAGATTGAAAGTGTAATACGAAATTACTGGAAAATGATTGAAAGTAAAGCAATAAGGCAAAGTAAGATAAAATTAAAGACTTTTTATTGAATGTAAAAGATGGAGTTTCATTGTTTATATATTTTCTCAACCATTACTCTTTTCTCTGAACGTTGATAGTGAGATTTTTGTAGTAAAATGAACACCCTGAATTCAACGTAATGAACTCATATATATACTGTTGCACCCCAAAATTTGACCAACAATTATTTATCCATCAAGTGTTTGCAGGTTGATACCTTCATCAGAAAGTTCAAGAGATCCTCAGAGGAATTGGTTGAAACCAAGGTTGTGTGCTTCATAGCTTGAGAGTTGTGGGAGCTCCTCAGATGATTCTGAGACTTTGAGAGGGAACTTGAGGATTTGAGAAAGGTTATGAGATGTCTTGAGAGCCATCATGAAGTCCAGAGAGGTCATTATGCAAGAATTCAGAAGATTCAACCATGAATGGTAGAATTAGGGTTTGACTGGGTCAACCCTAGGTCAACTGAAGTTTTGGAGAAGATTGAGACCCAATCCAAGGGCCATGAGATCATGGAATGATGTATGGAGATGTTATAAAGATGATTCCTAGACCAACTCATCTTGATTGAGGAGTTTGAGAAGTTTTAAGCCAGGGTTTCTAAGGATGGATAGTGAAAAAACCCTAGTTGGATCCCTATCTTCCAGGCAGTTTTAGCTCAAGATGTGATTGATATCTCATCTTCCCCACAACATGAATGTTGTAGAGATTCTTCTTAGCTTTAATTTTAGTGGTAGAAGTCCTTGATAGGATGTGCAGAGCTCAAGTTATGGTTTTGACAAATTACAGGTCATCTGAGGTGTGTGAATCTGGGTCCTTGAAAGTCACCCAACTTGTAGACAACTTTTTCCCTAGTAGGATGATTACTATGATCTCGTGGTCAACATGAATGTTGAAGAGCATCTTCTTAGATTTCTAGAGAGTACTAGAAGTCCTTGATAGGATTTGTAGAACTCAACTTATGGTTTGAACAAGACAGGGGTATTTTGGTCATTTGGTGATTATAGGTCATTTTAAGCAAAGGCCATATCTCCCATTTCCAAGTCTCAAATGGAAAAACTCAAAACATCAAAGTTGTTCAAAATGGGATTTTAAGCCTACAAAAGTGGTCATGAGTTATTGAAAGAGCTTGTAGCAAGGATTTTCATGATTGGGTAAAAATGACCTAAAAATGGCTTATAAGTTAAAAAAGTTGAAATGGAATTTTGGTTTAGGAGATGTACAAATCCAAAATGGGTCATCCAATATGTCATTTTGACTCCAAACATTATTTTAAAAACAATGGTTCAAGTAGAATTTTGATTTGAGGTCTCAAAATGGAGGTTGCTTTGTAATTTTCATTCTTGCATAATAAGGCAACTTGAGAAACTTCACACAAAGCAAAACCAAGGCATGTTTTTCACTCATTCCTTCTCAATATCTCGTGTAAGGAGATTTTAAAGCCAAATTGACAAGCTTAAGGCATGAGATAAGGGATATACAATGTATCATTTCATGAGAAATTCTATAACATTCTAGCACTTTCCATGAGTTTCTAGACTCTTCTTTTGATTGTTATAAAAAGGATGAATCACCATGAGAGCAAGGTTGGTGAAAGTTGCTAAGTTCATTGGAGAGAGTGATAGAGAAAGTGACATTTCAAGATTCCTTCAAAATCAAGCAAGCTTCAATTTCTTCTTCTACAAGCCTCATCCATCTCAACTCTTGCAAACAGAAAGGTATCCACCATTGGAGGAGCATTTGGGGAAGATTTCAAGCCTTGAATCAAGCTCTAGCACCACTCACCATTGATCTTTAGCAGGTTGGTAACTCGATCCATAAGTCCTTATTTAGGTGCATTCTGTTAGAATTTTAGGTGGAAAGATAGCATGCTAGGTTAGAGGAAGGTTTTCTGAGAGTTTGAGAGGGATCCATGGAGTTTCGTGGCAGGGTATCAATTCTTGCAAGATTGATAATAGGCTGTTCATGGAGTTTTAATGGATATGGTATAGTTTAGAATGGCTAGGGTAACATGGAGAGCAAGTTTACCTCATTAGATTGAAGCTCTATCATGTTTGATCTCAGAGAATCATGGTGGAACCCAAACATTCGTGTGTTCTGTTAGAGTGATATGAGGGATTTCAGGGAAAACTATTGGTATAGTCGTGTTAATGGTGATCATTAGCATAAGTTTGCTCTTGGAAGTTTTGGATTTCATTGAGGGATCAGAGAGAACGAGTGGATTGAAACTCTGGCATGGAGTTAGGGTTTCTGAAACCCTAGATGGTGTTTTGGAGAAGACGAGCTTGTCACCGTTGGATTAGCCTGGATATTTGACTTCTTCATCTGATCGCACGGCCAAGATTCAATTTCAAAAGAGGAGGGAAGACTCAACTGCAAAACGCAGCGTTTGGTTTAATGAGAAGTTCTGGGCTTAATGGAAAGTTGATATTCACACCCTACTCAGAGGCCCAACCCAGATTTCAACGTGAAAATGTTGCTATTTTCACCGTATCCTTTCCATTTTCTTAATGTTTTTTTCCTTTTTTCTGAAGCACGTGGGCTTGATATTCGCACCCCCAGGTCTTCAACCCATCATAAAATGAACTGGGCGTGTTTACTTTCCTCACCCCACCCCCATTTCATTCATTTTCCTTTATTTTAATTCCTTTTAATTTTTTTGCATATTAAAAAATCCATATAAAATAGGAAATTAATATTTTTCACTTCTTGTTTTTTTCACATATTCCTAATCATGTCTAGAAAAATTTAAATAAATAAAATTCCATTTTATTTTCCTTTTAATATTTTTAGCATATTATTCTTGTAAATAGTATTTTTAATTGATTTAGTTGATACTTAATTTTGTATAATTTCCTTTAGGGTCTTCCCTTAGGATTTTTGAGCCATTCCTTTTGGCATAGTTAGGTATTGAATCATAGTTCATATAGGATTTAATTCACAATTTGTAGATTAAAATTTGATATAGTTTGCTTGTTTGACATTTAGGTGCTCAAAATTAGGGTTTTAGGTTGTATAAGTAGATTTAACAATTTTGTTTTGGGGTTTATAGGCCAAATTAGTGTATGGGGAATATATGGGTTAAGGGTAAGTATGTATAGAATCCCCTAGAATTTTGCTAGAATATTGTATGGTATTTTAGCATTTTTAACTGATTTTTGAATGTATGGTTAGCATGTGTGTTGCTTGAAGGCATAGTTTGTATTGTTGTGCTTGTTTTTCTTCTCCTTTGAGTGTGTGAGCCTTGAAGATTGAGTTGAAGACCTTGTGGATCATCATTGAAGCTTTGAAGACCTTGCAATGGAGCTTAGTTTTAGATTTTGTTTGTTCTGTTTATAGGATCATAAGTGCATATGTAGAGCCTTAGATAGAATACTTCCATTCAATAAACAAGGAGTGTCTTGTTCACCTCCTTCCTTCTCTGTGACATAAAGTCCCTTAAGGGTATTCACCTCTCTCCTTTGGATGGATTAGTGACCTTGCCCTCTGAGGTAGAACTTTGAGAGAGCCTTTCCCTTTGGTGTTAAGTCCTCAATGGCATCCTTTGGAAGTCAGTGAGCACTTTAACATCCTCACCTCATCTTGTGGATTAACTCTTGTTTGCTGAAGCATCTGGGTTGTTGAAGATAGCAATGAAGAGCATTGAAGATTTGATTGAAGATCTAAAAGCCATTGAAGATAGAAGCTGAAGCTGTGAAGAGGGTGA